ACAGACTGAAGCTCGTTTTATCGTGCTAGCCCACTGAGAGACCATGCTGCAGTTAAGCTTGAATACCCCACTCAGACACAGTATACTGACTCCAAGCCGACCAGTCCTTGATGTACCCATTAATGCCGAGCGCCAGGCAGGGACCAACAAGTTCCATATTTTAACGTCTTTTGGTATGACGCGATCGGGGATCGAACCCGCGACCTTCCGCTCTCCGGGCGGACGCTCTAACCACTACACCACGGAGGCGGTTCGCTCAGAGTGATTATACTGGGGCATTAAAGTCATCCCTCACAATAACGCCCTTTGCGATACCACGGTTTCAGGTAAATGGCAGGGTAATCTGTGGCTCCGAAAAAAAAGTTGCCCAGCGATCACACATCTTCACGTCATCGGAAATAGCATATCAACAAATCTGCTGGTGTTCTCAGGTTAATCATGTTGTATACTTGTAAAATTCAGTGCAGATTGCAATAGACAGTATTCATCGTACATATCCTTGTATTATGTGTGTTCAGATGCTTAAAAAAACATTTGGGGTTTTCTTGAATAATCACACGAACATTAGAACATTGTAATAACTTATAGGAGACAACTTTATCATAAAGACATGCCATCAGCTGAGTACTTGTGATATTTGCTGTGATGCAACACACTGTGTCATAGCGTGGGTAAACACTACCATCCGAAACATATGATGTCAGAAAACACATAATAAAACGATCTTCATCGATTTCATTTTATTTGATTAAATTTAGCCCCATTTTCATTCATTAAAACTTTACAGTACTATCTGAGACATCGCATGTATAACTGAGTGGTCTAGCACTTAAATTATAATAAAATTGACAAAAGTCTGGACTAGAACAAGAGAAACACAGATGCATGCACATTGTTATTTAGTGAAATAATCCTGAATGTGATTTTGAATCCCATTTTACCTTATCTGAACATTAATGTTACATCTGAACAAAAGGCTGACTTCACTGAAGTCTCCTGGAGCAGCTGACAATATCTTCGTTGAGATAACATATTAGTTATAAATCGTCAAATGCTGTATCATACGGGGAGTGTGGAAGATATCCACTTTATGTTTCCTATCATATTAAATGTATTAAGTATTACTACGATTGTTAAGAATGCAATGTCAAAGATATGCTTTCCAATGTTATAATATGCTGTTGTCCATTCTTGAGAGAAAAAGGCAGAGTTGGGCCAATTAAGTAAAATATTTACTTTTTCGTTATGGCTATGGTTTTGTTTGGATAAGCCAAGAGGTTGGGGATCCAGATCATTTCATTTATATCTTTAGTCAAACTGTTAAAGAATGTGCTTATCAGAACTGGCACTATTCTCTTCAGAGTGATTCTCTCGCATTTTATCATTCTCATAAGTCTTTGCTTAATTGTGAAAAATATTTGTTAAACATTAGTTCCCATGAGCATAGACGTGTATTAACTTTATTTAGAAGTGGATATCTGAGTAAGAAAATTTTTCTTTAGTAATAACTCCTACATTTGTAAACACTGTAATGTAATGCTGAATGAAAGACATGTACTGTATGATTGTGTATATTTTGTAACAGAGAGAAAACGTTTCATCCCAAATTGTAGTAATGGTAACCATAATAATGTTTCAAACCTGTGCCAATCAAATAATAACACTTTTCTGTTAAATCTTGCTAAATTTCTTAAACATGTGTTTGAATGTATATAACTAAAGAAAGTAACTCTGTAGAATCTTATGTTATATTGTACATTTGTACTTTGGGTCATATGGCCTTTCTACAAATAAAAAATAAAATCTTGAATCTTGAAAAGGCTGACTTCACTGAAGTCTCCTGGAACAACTGACACTTCATGTTTTGTTTTTCAATGTCTTCGTTGAGATGACAGTGAGAAGAACATAGAGTGAACTTTGGAAAACTGGGACTGTCGAGTGAAGAAAATGCAATGAAATCTTTAAATTCCCTGTCAGTTCACTGTTTGTCCCCAATTTTGGTAGAATGTGTGAAGCTCAGTAGATGAAGACTTCACTTGTCATTAGTAGGACACAGGTTCTTTCCCCACACTACTAGAATGTGTGAAGCTCCGTAGATGAAGACTTTACTTGTCATTAGTAGGACACAGGTTCTTTCCCCACACTGCTAGAATGTGTGAAGCTCCGTAGATGAAGACCTCACTTGTCATGTGTAGGACACAGGTTCTTTCCCCACACTGCTAGAATGTGAAGCTCCGTAGATGAAGACTTTACTTGTCATTAGTAGGACACAGGTTCTTTCCCCACACTGCTAGAATGTGTGAAGCTCCGTAGATGAAGACTTCACTTGTCATTAGTAGGACACAGGTTCTTTCCCCACACTGCTAGAATGTGTGAAGCTCCGTAGATGAAGACTTCACTTGTCATTAGTAGGACACAAGTTCTTTCCCCACACTGCTAGAATGTGTGAAGCTCCGTAGATGAAGACTTCACTTGTCGTTAGTAGGACACAGGTTCTTTCCCACACTACTAGAATGTGTGAAGCTCCGTGAAAGACTAGATGAAGACTTCACTTGTCATTAGTAGGACACAAGTTCTTTCCCACACTGCTAGAATGTTTGAAGCCAAATCTTTGGTGTCTCCATGTTTTATTGTTGAAAAGGACCTATACACCTTAACTGATCTTACCGTCAGTACCTGTTCCCTTCATTACAATCAACTCACGATCATCTTTGTCCTTGCAGCCATATTTGGTCTGAACCTGGAGGAAGCCATGAAGTTCACCCGCGATGAGGGGAAGAAGATCCCTGCCATCATAGAGAAGTGTGTGGAGTACCTCTATGCTAATGGGCTGGAAGTTGAGGGAATCTTCAGGTGGGAATTTTCATAATTGTGTTTTACTTCCAGAATTGAAATCTTACTTGAATTGGAAGGTTTTAAAGTACCAATTAAAGATGATCGGGGTGATAATTCGGCTTACCCACGGAACATAACATGCTGATACTGATTTTAAGGGGTCAAGTTTGGACCTCAGCTTTTGGTAATATACAGTAATACACAAAGTTGAATTGATCTTGTTTTCACTCAGTGGTAGTTTTCTAATCTGCAAAGTGTTTGCTAGTTGTGCTAAAGGCCTGAATTCATTTCCCCTTATTTTGTTATGGAATTGTGATGTCCCTTGCCATGATATTACTAGGAAATTGTTAAAAGCAACATGGACACTTCCACCACTCCTCCAGTTGTCTTCAACGTGATGTGCCATTGAACAGCCACTGATAAGGGACCCGTTTCACAAAGCTCTCGTAAAGCCCTAAGATCTCATTAACTTTCCTCGTAGCATTCCTACTTCCCTTTACTGTAACATTGACTTCTATAGTCATAACACCACTTCCAGAGTTTTGTGAAACAGGGCCCTGGGTTTTAAGCTTGTAATTTAATCTAAAATTGGGCCTAATGCTATGTATTCATGTTCATTTGTTTCATTGAATTATATTCTAATTGGAGTGCCATGGGTATTCTTGTGTGGAGAAGTAAGGCCCAATTAATATATCTACACTGACTTCTGCACATATTGCATAATAGTACTTAGCCAGTGAAGTCTTCACCAATTTGTAGATGGTTGGATATTTTAATTGACTTTTTGAGAGAATCATTGAGATGAGGAGAGGTTTACTTTTGAAGAAGAAAAAAAATCTTGAACCTCTATACTCATATTGATTGATCATTTTCACATTTTGATTATTTTATATTGATCTGAAAATAATCTATTTCTGGACGTTTGATTCTGTCTCAAAACTGATTATTTATGAAGTTCTCTTTGCAAGGTAAGCCATCATATAATTCCTGATAACTTTTGTTAATGTGTGTCTCTCTTTGCAGGTTACCAGGGCTACTTCCCTTATAAGAGAACTGAAAGAGAAGTTTGATTGTGCCGAGAAAGTGTCCTTTGATATGCTTCAGCCTGATGTCAACAGTGTTGCCTCTTTGTTGAAGCTGTACCTGCGAGACTGCCCGAATCCATCATCCCCTGTAACCTCTACCAGCGGTACATGAACCATGCACTCCAGGTTCATCAACATGCCAAAGATGATGAAACCAAGGGCAAGTGTGTATTTTGAACTACAGAATGCCATGCCCGATATGCCCAAGGACAATTACTGCATCCTGAAATACCTGTGCAAATTTTTTACATGATGTTGGTGAAAAATGTGATGTCAACAAAATGACTGTGAATAACCTGGCCACAGTGTTTGGTCCAAACATCATTCGACACATGGATGACAACCCTGAACTGTTTATGATCACAGCAGACCTGACTCAACAGCTTGCCTTCATGATGATCCAGAATTACTTAAACTGTGTTTACTCTGGAGTACAGGGATGATGGAATATCGACGCGTTCCGAGGGTCACAACACTCAGCGTATGTAATCAGCTGTTGAAAATAAACCGGGCTCAATCTTAAAAACTACGCTGCCGCCATATTGGCTGCACTGGTCACGTGACGAGCCGAGGCATAGCTCAGGAGCTTTCCGAGGAGTGACCACTCCCCCTTATAGAGTCTCCCTGGTAGGACACAAGTTCTTTCCCCACACTGCTAGAATGTGTGAAGCTCCGTAGATGAAGACTTCACTTGTCATTAGTAGGACACAGGTTCTTTCCCCACACTGCTAGAATGTGTGAAGCTCCGTAGATGAAGACTTCACTTGTCGTTAGTAGGACACAAGTTCTTTCCCACACTGCTAGAATGTGTGAAGCTCCGTAGATGAAGACTTCACTTGTCATTAGTAGGACACAGGTTCTTTCCCCACACTGCTAGAATGTGTGAAGCTCCGTAGATGAAGACTTCACTTGTCATTAGTAGGACACAAGTTCTTTCCCACACTGCTAGAATGTTTGAAGCCAAATCTTTGGTGTCTCCATGTTTTATTGTTGAAAAGGACCTATACACCTTAACTGATCTTACCGTCAGTACCTGTTCCCTTCATTACAATCAACTCACGATCATCTTTGTCCTTGCAGCCATATTTGGTCTGAACCTGGAGGAAGCCATGAAGTTCACCCGCAATGAGGGGAAGAAGATCCCTGCCATCATAGAGAAGTGTGTGGAGTACCTCTATGCTAATGGGCTGGAAGTTGAGGGAATCTTCAGGTGGGAATTTTCATAATTGTGTTTTACTTCAGAATTGAAATCTTGCGGAATTGGAAGGTTTTTAAGTACCAATTAAAGATGATCGGGGTGATAGTTCGGCTTACCTACAGAACATAACATGCTGATACTGATTTTAAGGGTCAAGTTTGGACCTCAGCTTTTGGTAATATACAGTAATACACAAAGTTGAATTGATCTTGTTTTCACTCAGTGGTAGTTTTCTAATCTGCAAAGTGTTTGCTAGTTGTGCCAAAGGCCTGAATTCATTTCCCTTATTTTGTTATGGAATTGTGATGTCCCTTGCCATGATATTACTAGGAAATTGTTAAAAGCAACATGGACACTTCCACCACTCACTCAGTTGTCTTCAACGTATGTGCCATTGAACAGCCACTGATAAGGGACCCGTTTCACAAAGCTCTCGTAAGCCTAAGATCTCGTAACTTTCCTCGTAGCATTCCTACTTCCTTTACTGTAACATTGACTTACGATAGTCATAACACCACGAGAGTTTTGTGAAACAGGGCCCTGGGTTTTAAGCTTGTAATCTAATCTAAAATTGGGCCTAATGCTATGTATTCATGTTCATTTGTTTCATTGAATTATATTCTAATCGAGTGCCATGGGTATTCTTGTGTGGAGAAGTAAGGCCCAATTAATATATCTACACTGACTTCTGCACATATTGCAAGATGGTACTTAGCCAGTGAAGTCTTCACCAATTTGTAGATGGTTGGATATTTTAATTGACTTTTTGAGAGAATCATTGAGATGAGGTTTACTTTTGAAGAAGAAAAAAATCGTGAACCTCTATACTCATATTGATTGATCATTTTCACATTTTGATTATTTTATATTGATCTGAAAATAATCTATTTCTGGACGTTGATTCTGTCTCAAAACTGATTATTTATTAAGTTCTCTTTGCAAGGTAAGCCATCATATAATTCCTGATAACTTTTGTTAATGTGTGTCTCTCTTTGCAGGTTACCAGGGCGTACTTCCCTTATAAGAGAACTGAAAGAGAAGTTTGATTGTGCCGAGAAAGTGTCCTTTGATATGCTTCAGCCTGATGTCAACAGTGTTGCCTCTTTGTTGAAGCTGTACCTGCGAGAACTGCCTGAATCCATCATCCCCTGTCACCTCTACCAGCGGTACATGAACCATGCGCTCAGGTTCATCGATGCCAAAGATGATGAAACCAAGGGCAAGTGTGTACTTGAACTACAGAATGCCATGCCCGATATGCCCAAGGACAATTACTGCATCCTGAAATACCTGTGCAAATTTTTACATGATGTTGGTGAAAAATGTGATGTCAACAAAATGACTGTGAATAACCTGGCCACAGTGTTTGGTCCAAACATCATTCGACACATGGATGACAACCCTGAACTGTTTATGATCACAGCAGACCTGACTCAACAGCTTGCCTTCATGATGATCCAGAATTACGAAACTGTGTTTACTCTGGAGTACAGGGATGATGGGAATATCGACGTGCCCGAGGCTGACCTTCTTCGCTTGTCCACCTGGGATGCCAACCCAGTGCTGAGTCCTCAAGCAGCTTTCTCCCAACCCAATGATCGATCTGCAATGCAAGATCTAAAATCTTTGGATTTGGCATTTGCTGATGAAGTGTTTGACCAGCTTGCTCAGAATAATCAGTCACCAAATAGTCCTGGCAGTCCTTTTGTGTATGTGGATAATCACTATAAAACTGACAGGGAGAATTGTACTCAGGATTTTGATCCTTTGAATGTTCAGAATGAAAAGCGATCAAACACTCTGGGTTCGCGCCCCATACCTCCCAAACGAAAGTCTAAGATAGCACGTGGTAGAAGGATAAGTGAAAGACGAACAGGTAGTGATAGTGAAACCAAGCCTCAAGAAGATCCTTCCCAAAGGCTTTCAGACAGCATTAAAGAAGCTTTAGATCAAAGAAATGAAACACCATCAATAACAGTGTGCAGTAATGGCACGACATCTCACTTGAACAATAACAAGTCTGCTGACGTAGAAGCAGACAACAAAGTTCAGCCATCCGAGGCTCATCTGCTGGCTCAGAATGAGGCTCTGAAGGTGGAGCTGGTGAATACGAAGACCCACTATGGGGAAACATTGAAAAAGTTCCAGACTGACCTGTCAGCATTGAAAGACAGGTATGAGAAAAGGATTGATACAATGGAAGCCATGATTAAGTCACAAAATCAATGTCTTCAGAAGGAGAAGAAGGATCGGGCAGAGGCTGTAGAGCGGGTGGTGCTTCTTCAGGCACAGTTACACGAGTATCAGATGCAGTATGGCGAGATACAGCATAAGTAACATGGAATCTCTTCTCCAAAGGTTAACAAGAACCGCATCTCCTTTGAATGTAGACTCAAAGGGTTTGAATGTCCTTCAGATTGAATGATCACGATTGGGATCAAATGGATGTCTTCAAAGGACACACAAACATCCTGATGCACTGTCTGGTAGTCCTCTGAGCTCCCAGTGGACTGACTGGATCGGTTTGGGACATGATCTGGTTGTTCCCAGAGCAGTAACTCTACAGAGGCAAGAGTGAAGCTTCAGCTACAGGAGTACCAGATGGAACATGGCGAGATTCAGTTCCATTAGTCCTGAACTTCCAGAGAGCTGTCAACTGAACCCATCTCACTGTCTTGCTCACTTCACATGATCATAACTATTGATAGCGTCTGTGTTCAAACAGCTAGTTCTGACATAGGACTTCACAGCATTTCACAGCATTTCACATTGTGATTCTGAAATCATGGAGAGCCTATCAGTGCTGAATTGAATTCTGTTGTTGCAGAATTCAGATTTGTTTGTAATTCATTACATATGTGCCTTGAAGTTGTTGAGCTGTTCCATAGAGTTTCGATGATTTTCTTACATGTATCTTGTGTTTGTTTTTACTAATTGTCTGCAATCAGGAATATGTTCACAAGCAGCTGTGAAGGTATTACTAGGATTTGGACATGAACATTCATGGAAAAAACTGAGAGAAAGATTTTGTACTGTTTAAGAAGGTTTATGTGACCAGTTTTGAGTAAGAACACTTACGATTTTTCTCTTCCAACTTGTGCATCTATTTGCATATGCAACCATCCAGTAAAGCCCTACATTAATTTATTGATGTTCTGCTGTTGACTATACATTCATATTCGCATACTGCAAACTTTAGTCGGATAAAAAAAATAATTTGTTTATTTGACATCAAGCCTACCCTATAATTTTTCAGAAGTAACATTTGTACTTGATAGAAAATATATTTCTTTTTCTTTTTCTTTTTTTCATTTTGCCTTCAACCGTTTTGAATATTGTCCTCAAAATATAAAGAAACATGAAATTAAAGTAAATACTGAAAAAGGTAACTTGAGTGATATTATTTCTAGACACTTTATGCCATAAGCTATGGTATCTGGCAAATGGGAAATAAGATTACTAGTTGGGATGTAACTCTGAATGTAAAGAGCATGATTCATTTGTTGTTCAATCTGTGTTATATCCTCAAAACACCTTAAATTTCAATGAAAAATCATCAGAAATAAATTTCCAATGTTGAATGGAACATATCTCCGAAAGGGCATTAAAATGGTGTTCATAACAGTCAACCTCGTAAACTGTACTTAACTAATGACAAGTTGTCCTTGTAGCATGAGCATTTATAATGCCTGTACAGCATTTTGACTGCATTAACTATATACATACTATTAAGTGTAGTAGGAAAACATTTTTGTCAGTATTACTTTATTGTACCCAACTTACAAAATACCTTTTGTGAACAGATGAATGCATATAAAAATCCATGGTCTCTTTCATAGACAAATTGTTGAAGTTTCTATTGTTTTCTTGTGTCAACAATTTTTTTATAACATTTCGCATTTTGGTGCTGTTCATGCTGCGGGATTTGCTTATGTTTTCTTAGAACTAAATTTCATGTGTGCCAACTGAGAGAAAATAGAGAAGTCATTTGTTTGTGCAGTAAATTTGTTTTAGAATATTTTTTAGTGTGATTAATCTGAGCATGAACATCATTATTCATTACGACAATGGGCATATTGTGATCATTAGGTGTTTGTCAGTATTGGACATACATTAGGACATCACAGTTTTGTCAGGAATGGACACACATTGTGACATCACAGTTTTGTCAGTAGTGGACATACATTGGGACATCACAGTTTTGTCAGTAGTGGACTTACATTGTGACATCACAACTTTGTCAGTAGTGGACATACATTGGGACATCACAGTTTTGTCAGTACTGAACATGTACATTATGACATCCCTATTTTGTCAGGAATGAACACACATTGTGACATCACAGTTTTGTCAGTAGTGGACTTACATTGTGACATCACAATTTTGTCAGTAGTGGACTTACATTGTGACATCACAATTTTGTCAGTAGTGGACATACATTGTGACATCACAGTTTTGTCAGTAGTGGACTTACATTGTGACATCACAATTTTGTCAGTAGTGGACATACATTGTGACATCACAGTTTTGTCAGTAGTGGACTTACATTGGGACATCACAGTTTTGTCAGTAGTGGACATACATTGGGACATCACAGTTTTGTCAGTAGTGGACTTACATTGGGACATCACAGTTTTGTCAGTAGTGGACTTACATTGTGACATCACAGTTTTGTCAGTAGTGGACTTAGATTGTGACATCACAATTTTGTCAGTAGTGGACTTACATTGTGACATCACAGTTTTGTCAGTAGTGGACTTACATTGGGACATCACAGTTTTGTCAGGAATGGACTTACATTGGGACATCACAGTTTTGTCAGGAATGGACACACATCGTGACATCACAGTTTTGTCAGTACTGAACATGTACATTATGACATCCCTATTTTGTCAGGAATGAACACACATTGTGACATCTTAGTTTTGTCAGTACTGAACATGTACATTATGACATCACAATTTTGTCAGGAGTGGACACACATCACACTTTTTATAGAAAACACACATACATTGTGACATCACAGTTTTGTTTGATTTTATACAGTTATATGTTACAATGACTATATCACAGATTCATATCAGGTACATGTAGGACACGCACACCAAACAAGATTTGAAATTTTGAAATGTGATCTTGTAAACTCTATTAGATGATATGTGCCTTAATTAACAGGAACATATATGGGTACTTTTTTATAGCAACTATAGATACTTTGATGTTCGTTGTCAAATATTCTTTTCATTAATGAATAGGTGTATGGAAGACGGCATGTTGAGTGATTGTGTATTGCTGTTTAATTTTGTCCTGGTGGAGTGTGACTTTCAGCCTGAGACAAAAATAGCATCAACTTTCAAATTATCCATTGGACCATGGAGGGTTTCATACATTTGATATATTGGAATATGTATAATTATATATAATATAATTATATAATTATATATAATTTTTATCAAATAAGATTTACACTGATTTGTTAACATATTTATTATAAAAATTTAGATAGTTGTCATATTTCACAATTAACGGTAGCGGAATAACCTCGTTACTGACAAATGGACCAGGGTTGATTATGAACACAGGTATATCCTTGATCATGCAGTCATTTATGCCCCAATTGTATTATGAAAAACATACTGGTATGACTCACCGCAGCTTATTTTGTGGCTATTTCAGCTACGCATGTTTCAATCTAGAAGCATCTGTGGTGGCAGCCATGTCCAGTATATTCATCATAATAGAATGGAGGTTTAATACACTGGATAATCAAGGTCCCTCACATAGTATTATCAGACAGAATAATCATCATCCAGCTCAGTTATTTATGCTGATAACATCAACTCACAAGACAACTGCTTAACTTGGGACTGAGTGAGTGAGTGAGTTTAGGTTTACGCCACACTCAGCAATATTCCTGCTATATGGCGGCGGTCTGTAAAAAATCGAGTCTGGACCAGACAATCCAGTGATCAACATCATGAGCATCGTTCTTAGCAATTGGGATACGATGGCATGTGTCAACCAAGTCCTGTCAGTCGCCTCTTATTACATGCATGGGTTACTGAAGACCAATTCTAATCCAGATCTTCAGGGGTTGCTGACCTTGGGTCTCTATACCTTGGCCCCATTATGATCCTTGTTTTGTCAACACCATACGTGTCCTTGTTGGTTTCCTCAAAGTGCTACACTGCTAGGACTACCCACACTGTGATAACTTGGTACAATTCAAAGGAGTGTTGAGCTCAGTTGACTCAATCGCAAATCAGATTTACCATTAATATTCATAAACAACAGCCCTTATTATCATATTTTCTTATCATCATATTCTTAAGTCAAACAGCATTTCTTTAATCATAACAATAAAAAGAATGAGTGAAAAGAGAGTTGTCTTCTTCACATCCATCTATATAAAGTTTGCTAAACCATAGACCCTCTTTGAAGTTCTAAACACCTTCACAATATATTTTTAGAAGAATAAAAACCATATATATTGGCTAGAAGTAGACAAAAATATTGAAATTTACTCTGCTGTTGCACTTTACAATTCACAGATATCTTCCAAGTAGATCTAGTTTTAGCATTCAAATATAATCATGTTGATATGAGATTGTGCACATGTAAAACAATGTATAAAGTGTATTTGGTAAATGTCAAAGTGTAGCAGCACTTCGAGCTCCCCTCCCACATTATACTGACACACTGTGATATCACTGAAATACTGTTTCGGGGGACATCAGATCCACCTTGCCCATTTGCTCATCAATATCAATTGTAGCCTGACGGTAAAACGTGACTTCCTTGACTTACCATAGATACTTCAATAAACTCCCACCTTGAATTTCTGCCTCTCTTAACAAATCTTAGTAAGGGCATATCTAATTAAATTCTGCAGCTAATGCACAGAAAGACAAAAATGCCAGCCTGGAATAAGCACTTAGTGATATATTATTCTTCTATTTTAATTCTTTAAAAAGCAAATTTAGAACATTGAAATTGTGTGAATGTTTGGTAATACTGTATGGTATGGTTTCAAGTATAATTTGATGGTTCCATTAAACGTTTCGAAATGGATATGGCAAAAAGGTGTCCATTATTTTTGTCAAAATTGAACATTTGATGAGTTCTCTTAAAATTCATGAAACAAATATTTAAAAAAAAAATGCAATTTTGATGTTTCTGAAATGAATGGGAAAACTTGCTTCGAAGAGAAACTGCATCTAGCACCTCCTGAAATGTATAATACTCTGAGTGATTGTTTCAGAAATTGTAGCCGATTCTGTTTAGCTGGTGAGAATGTGTTGTTGTATTGTGACTTTATAGATTACATACAGCCATGCTGTTACCTCTGTGTGTATGGCCCTCATTACATATCATGATTTCTATGTTGTGTGCTCAGTCGATGTATCAGACTTCATGTTCATTATTTATTCATGTATATAAACAGGGATCTGTTTCATGACATACGAACCTCAGCCAAGGGATACTGTTCCGATTTTATTATGTACATATATAATCTGCATTACTTTAAAAATCATTATTTAGATCATGATCCTTTAATTCAATACTGATGCTTTGATTCATTAGATAGAGAGCTCAGTAGTTTCGATATAATGTTTGCTTCTGAACCCAAATTTTCAGATATATGAAACAGAATTGTCACCATTGAACTGGATAAAATATTGGGGTACTATTTTGCCAGTTCATTTTGTTCATAACTATATCAGGAAGAGAATCTGTGTAAGCATTGTCAGGTTCAATCATTTCTCATTAAGTGCCCTGTCTCATTAACATAAAATGTTTTATTTCAGTATGATACCTTTCGGTATAAAGATATGCTGAGATATCATATTGGAGTAACAGCTCAGACTTTATTAAGCTTGAAAGGATTCTGTCTTGACAGGAGAGTTGTGAGGCCACACGTTTTGAAATTAATGGTTTATGGAGCTTTTAGCTACAGACTATTGCTGGGTTAAAAAATCCTTGTATTACATTTAAACTTGTATTGAGGGCACAGTTAACAATGCCTAAATGTACCATTTATTATCATATTTTGTCACATTTTTTTATATATAACCAGTGATAAGTATGGGAATGGGGATTCAAGAGTAAAAAGGAGTAGTATTAATTTAAATGATAGGAAGGGGGAAAGCAACATTCACCAAGGTTAAAGTTAGATCAAAGTAAGTCTTCTTATTTGTGCATTTTTAGATTCCAAAAGGCACATCTACACATCTTCAGGGGAGTGCCCTATGCCACACTTGAAAAAAATGTATACTTCCATCCCTGCCTTGGGTAGATCAAAAATATAATGTAATCATATTTGTATATTTGAATCTTTTTTGTTTTCCCTGAAGAACAGTGTGTGGGTTTGTCTGTGATTTGCAGGAAAGTACTAAAATAGATAGAAGTTCCTCATCCGGATAACCTCTTCCTTTACCCATGACATTTCCTGTAAATGCTCTCTTAAAATGATAACAGATTATTCCAATTAGATAAGCATTTGTATTTTGCCCTTTTTTTTCAACAATTGTTTTTTTATTATTTTCCCATCAACCCATCAATCTTGATACATAAACCAGTTTAAAAGAGTTGCCTTATGCTTTCATGTCATCTAATTCAGGGAGAAGGGATTAGCCCTGTGGTTCATGTGTTTACTTGCTTTGGTGCCTCTAGTGCATTTCCAAATTTGTTAGAACTGGAGATGTGGAGATATCATTGCCAGAATATTCTGATTCTGATCTATGTATGGCATTATTGGTGCAAAAGACTATATGTCAAATTTTCAGTCATTTTAGAAGTTTGTATACCTCATGCACCAGGAATAAGAATTCCGTATGTGG